GGGCTGAAGGCAGGCACTCAACGGCTGAGCCACCCAGAGGTCCCACAGTTTGTAAAATCTAAGCAATCAAACTATAAAGGCATGCACATGCACCCATGCACACACACACACACACACACACACACACACACACGCGTGTATAAAACCTGGTACAGTCTGAATAAGCTCTGTTCACTGGACCAAAGTCGATGTCCTGGTTTTGATATTATACTATATTATACCTGAGATGTTACAATGTGGGAAAGCAAAGTGAAGGCTAAGTGAATCCTCTCTGTATCTTTTTGAACTTCCTGTGAGAATAGAATTATTCAAAATATAAAGTTAAAAAAAAAAACCTCAAGCAGACCCATGAGATACAAAAAATAGTAGCATGAGAGTTGGCCCCTCTGGTAACCCTCAAACCACCCAGCAAACAGGCTGCAGGGTACCTGCCAGGTGATGCCCATGGACTCCAGGATTTAGCAACCCAGTCCTGAGAACACACTAACAGGGAACCAAGCAGAGGCCACCCCTCGACCCGGCAAAACCCATCAAGCTTGTGTCCCCACCACCCTTCAATGAGGAATTACATATTCAGAGCCTGTGCTATTGGGTTTGGCATTCTATTCCCTGGTTCCAGTTGAGGCCCGCAACTGGCTAGAAACTACCAAGACAAGTTTGCCCTCCCCTGGACAACTGCCCAGTTCCAGCCCAGACCAGGAGAGCACAGCCCACTAACAGAGCTTAATGCACAAACATTGCTCTGGAGCTGAGATTCATTAAGACGCTGCCCACACTTAGCCCCACCTGTTCATCTAAGTCTATTCCACCCTATGAATGAGCAAGGAAATAGCTCCAGGATGCACTGGACTGTCACTGCCCTTGATACTGCAAGGCAGATGCAGCTGGCTGCTCCCCTGGATCCTATTCCTCACCCCCAGCATGATTTGCTCTCAGCTGTTTAGAGGAGCCTACCCTCCACACGCACACGTGTCCCAGAGGCAAGGGACTGTGGGGGCAGTTTGGGAGCTTGCTGGGCTCACCCACTGCAATCACTACCCTCCCTTGGTCAGAAGCCATAATGCATGTTGACAGAACAAATAGAAGGGGGTTATAGCACAGAGGCTAAGGAAAAAAAATGTTTAAAATGAAAAGATTGTATATTGCACGATGAAGCTTTATCTTCTTTCCTCAGCTCATTTGCTGCTCGACAATGAAGTGTCTAGAGGAAACATTTATCTCTGCCCTCACAGCCCGGGAACACCAACTCTCATTAACTTTCCAATTTCATTTCTTCAGAAGATCCAAGTTCAGATAATCCAATTTATATGTATTAAAAATTACTTGTGGCCAGTGTCCAAGGGAGTCCCCCCACTCCTCCCCCCTCCAGCAGTTCTCATATTACATAAGAAGGACTACTTAAAAATGCAACCCATCATCTTTTATTTTGGTACAGGAGTCTGAGGCACTTGTCTGGTGATTGAGCAAGTCTTGAAAGCGGCGGCTCTCCACCAGAGACGGGTTGGTCCCCAGGGGGGGCATTTGGCGACATCTGGAGACTTCTTTGGTTGTCACAACTGGATTGTGGGGGAAGGAGGGGTGGCCTGATGGTATTTGGGGGGGAGAGGCCAATGATGCTGTTAACATCCTACAATGCATAGGCCAACCCCCACAAAAAAGAGAATTATCTGCAAAATGTCCATAAGTGCCAAGGTTGAGAAAACCTGCCTTAACGTTCTCTACAATTTTCTCTACAATTTACTATATATGTAACCTTTATCATTGATTCCACAAACAGTCACTTGGAACTTAGCATAATCTTCAGGCATTGTGCTAGGCCCCGAGGCTGGGAGCCTGTCTCACAGCATCTAGTAGAGGAATAGCAAAGGTATAAGGCAAATACAACACAATTTGGAGCCAGAGTGGAAATACGTATTCACACTGGGAAGGACATGACTCTGTGAGGATGGGACTGGGGGACGGGAGGAACAACAACAAACTGCATATTCAGTCCCAAACATAAAATCTGATCTCAAATATGGAATAAAAATAACTGCTAGGAAAGATCACCAAGCCCCAAGCCCTTTGAAGCAATCTGCCTTAATGCTTTTATACGCACACGTATCCTCAGAGAGAAGCAACCTACTGCTTTCTCCGTGACTTTATTCCCTATTAAGATTATTCTCCTAAGAATATTTTCCCAGTACCGATGAGATGTTTTATTTCCTTCTCCTGCCCTTAGTTTATGCTTTCTATCTACACGTTTAAAATATGGATAAACATGCAGTGTGATACTGTAACTGCTAATCAGCTAAGGGATACATATGTAGCCTCCCCTATCTTTCCTCAGACAGCAATCTGAATCGATTCAGAATTCTGAGGATGCACTTTCCTGAATGTCTGTCTAGTTGGCCTCACTTTTTTAATACTGAGTGCCAGATACGTCGCAGGGACCATTGTCTCCAAACCTCCCGCTCCCATTTCCCAAGCTGAAAGAAGCCCGGGACCGCACAGAAGCGCTTATGAAGAAGTAAAATGAGCATACGGGAAAATGGCCTTTCCCCAGGAAAATTAACAGCCAGATCCAAGAGGGTTTGATCAAACAAAAGCACACCTTAGATTAGATTTGCAAGGCAAAATAGGCTAGTGATCATTTCCACGGCAGATACCACAGACAATTGCATATCTTCCAGGTCAGCAATGTGGATGATAAAACTGTCTGGAACACCATCATTGACAAATGTGAGCTCATAGCTAAGCTGAAATTAAAACCAGTTATGAAACAGAATTATCACATGCCATATGCCCGCGCACAAAATATTCCAGGCCATCTTACAAATTAAATCACTAACATACAGCTTTGAGGCTCAACTTTGTGAATACTTCTGCACAATCCTGGGGGGTTAATTTTTGGTCTGTTGGTAAGTCTGGGTTCGAATCTTGACTCTACCACCTTATAGTTCTGGGACCCGGAGAAGTTAATTTAACCTCTTGGAGTCTAAATTTTCCCATCTGTGAAAGGAGGAAAACCATAGCTATCTCTCAAGATTGTCGTTGGTTAAAAAAAAAAAAAAAGATTGTCGTTGGTTGTAGCAGTCTGGGTCCCACAGGGAAAATGCAGACCTTGTCAGTTATTCTAACTGGACAGCGAGGAAGCTGCGACCACACTCAGGGTTAGGAGAGCAGAGGGCAGAGGTTGGACTTCTCAGACCCTGGAGGCTTCAAAGGAGGGCCTTGTGGAGCGAGGCACAGACTGCAGGGGAGAGGAAGACAGTGTCTGTGGCAGAAACTGTCGTAACAGAAGCTTAGGAGCCCACACAGCTTAGCCTCGGCTGATTCTGGGAAGGTGCAGAAGAAAGCTGGACGCTGGAACCAACTGCCACTGCCAGGGTGACAGGCCATCTCCAGGTGACACTCTCAAAGACCAGCAAGCATGCAAGGAGGAGCAGGTTCTCTCCCCTGCTCAGTTTCAGTCTCCCACTGGCACCTCTGCTGGCAGATGGCAAAGGAGAAACGTGATTGCGGAGAGCCCCTGCTGACACAGCAGACTTTGGAGGCTGGATTAGGAGCTGGGGGACAATAGCTTAACCCACTACCCATTCATCCATTCCTTACCTACACGAATGGGGTGCTTTCTGCGTGTCTGACTGCGGGGCTCTGCGCTACACACTGGGGAGTTTGGGGTATTAAGCAGGAAAGTCTTACAAAGCGCACAGCCTGGTGACAAGGCCGCACAGTTAAATATCAGTTCTCTCTCAGGGCCAGTGGGAAACATAAAGGAAAATGAAATAGAGACCAAAACAAACTGAACAAAAACCCAGCTCCTGCCTTTCAAGAGTTTCGTGTTTAGATTAAGTGTTATAGGATGAGTCCAAGAGCAGAGTACAAAGTAATACGTGCTTATTTGCTTTGAAAAAATATTTCAGACGTAATTCTTTTAATAATTCAGGGAAGCCCTGGTGCCCAGGTGGCTCAGTCAGTTAAGCATCTGCCTTTGGATCAGGTCATGATCCCAGAGTCCCAGGATGGGGTCCCAGAGTCTGGCTCCCTGCTTGGCCAGGAGTCTACTTCTCCCTCTACCCCATCCCCACTCGTGCTCACTCTCTGTCTCTCTCTAATAAGTAAATAAATAAAATCTTTTAAAAATAATAATAATTCAGGAAGCCAGAAACTATGCGAGGGGTAATCAGCGAAACCCTCACAAAAAAAAAGATAGGAATGAGCAAAACCTTACTTAATATTTAGTCCATAGCCAAAAGGATAAGACCATTGCACGTTAAAGAAAGTGCATGAGCAAGTAACCATGGTGGGAATTTTCTGGTTGATTACCTGATCTCAAAACATGGAGGATGGATTCATGATGTGGATGATGGATTCATGATGTGGAGTATGGAACATGGGGTCATCAGTAGGACATTTCCTGACTGTATTCTGAGGCATAGATGAGTCACCAAAGCTTTCTGAATGAGCAGAAGGTATGTGTAAAAGGCATTACGTTGCAGTCCTTATCATATCTAGCACAATACCTAGCATATAATGGAATATTTGGGGGAAAAATATTACATTGACTGAGATGGGATGGGATGAAATTATAAAGGCAAGTCTTAACTATGAAAATCTGCATGTATTTCCCTGTTTTAATTATGATAATAAATATTTGTGAAATGTTTTGAATAATCAATAAGCAATGTTAGAGCCAAAAGTTCAGGAACTGAAATAATTCAAGCAATGATAAAAATGTTAAGTAATGGTGTAGCCCACCCATCAAGATGCTGTGCTCATTTCAGATCGAGAGCCTGCCATTAGAACATAGCCTTGACCAGCACTGACTTTGGAGAGACTTGGAAGGAATCTTGATGGCATCATGAATTTATGCAAAAAAAAAGTGCTGGTCAATAAGTTTTTGAATCGATTTTAGTGATTCATGTAGAAAAAAATGATATCGTTGGTATGAATTTTTAATGGAAGTTTCCAGAGCATACAATGTACTCACACCTAATCTGTTGTGTTCTTCTTGGCAGATCCGTTACAAGATTTTGGCTTTTCCGCTGACCAGTGTTCTAAACATTTAAAGCCAAAACTCAACATTAGATTTGGAATGATCCTAAGTAAGTAAAGAGTACTGACATGAAATAAAACATTGCATAATTTCTTCCTGGTCCACACCCCCAAATACTTACATTAGCTACATTAACTGCAGTAGCTGGCTAAGTGGCTGGCTAGGCCACTGTCCCCACCACTCTGTGGAAGCAACTCTATTTCCATCTTCATTTTTACTTCTCTCTTGGTGACATCTGGATACAATGGAACTCTCACTGAATGCTGTGCTCTTATACTAAAAACACTCTAAGCATTCGTTTGGATGATATCAGCACCTGGAATCAGTATATCCAACAACAAAAAGAGATAATATGGCAAGCCTAAATATTGATATCTCTGTGGGAGAGAGCTTTCGCTTTGTTATCTCAGCAACAAACAAGTCTACCACGAGTAGCATGGCTTATCATTTGCTTTATATCATTTCCCAAACAGCTGATGTAAGTTCTTAAACCTTTGACAAAGGCAAAGATATGTAATATCTTCTCCCTCCACCCCAGTCAATGAGGTAGGATGCTGATTGTTTATTTTTATTTGGCCATGCTTTTACAGTCAGTCATTATATAGCTATAGCTACTAGAGTATCTCCCTTCTGAAGCAGTTTTATCGAAACCAGAACTGAAGGATTTAATAGACTTAGCGTGTGGAATCATTCCAGAGAAGTGGAGAGAACACTGCTGGGGACAAAAAAACTCTCATGCATCTTCGTATTTTCAGAACCTTGCCCAATATCTGGATTCTACAGCAGGAGTTGAGTAAAAGGGGAATGAAAAAAGGAGGAAGTGGAACTTGAAAAGGAGGAATAGAGAAAAAGGCAGCGCACCCTAAAGCTTCCTGTGTAATATGATACAACACCTAGCAATTGTGGGGGGCTGACCCCACCCCACCCTCTCAGGGGAAGCATGCAATACTATGCAGCCAAGAAGTTGTAGAACCCAGACTGTAGCCATCACTTCGAGGGGCAAGAGCATCAGGGCAAGGGAGCACAGCAGAGTGTCTACCTTGCTCCAAACAGATAAAGTTCATTAAAAGGGCTACATTCATACCTAGAGCAGTTGCCATTATCCTCTGTAGCACTGCCTAAGTGCTGTTTTACCAAGAAGAAAGAAGAAAGAAGAAGAAAAGAAGAGAAGAAGAAGAAGAAGAAGAAGAAGAAGAAGAAGAAGAAGAAGGAGGAGGAGGAGGAGGAGGAGGAGGAGGAGGAGGAGGAGGAGGAGGAGGAAGAGAGAGTGGGTAGGAAGAAGGAATGAAGGAACAAAGGAGGGATAGAAGAGAAAGAAAAGGGAAAAAAGAAAGAGGAAAGAAAGAAAGAAAGAAAGAAAGAAAGAAAGAAAGAAAGAAAGGAAAGGAAAGGAAAGGAAAGGAAAGGAAAGGAAAGGAAAGGAAAGGAAAGGAAAGGAAAGGAAAGGAAAGGAAAGGAAAGGAAAGGAAAGGAAAGGAAAGGAAAGGAAAGGAAAGGAAAGGAAACTGTCCCCATACAAGGCAGGTTTCTGGAAATAAAAGGCCATTTGGCTCAGGCCTCTATAAATGTTCAGTGCTTTGATACGAGGCAAAATCCACCCCGATAATGAAGCTGATCTTTTCCTTCCCTTTAGGAGAGGACATCAAAGAGCTGTTTCTTGACGTAGCTCTCTTCACTAAAGGATCATCCATTCTGAATTTCTCCTATCCCATCTGTGAAGAGGATCTACCCAAGTTTTCTTTCTGCGGAAGAAGGAAAGGGGGTAAGCTGTCTGTCTTGCTGCTTGTTGAGGTCCAGAGAGGAATGAACAATGGCTTCCAGTTGAGGCGGGAGCCCTGGTTCCATCTCTCACCTTTGGACAAGCTGAACCTTGCTTATCAGCATGTGTCACATAAAATAACCATGAATGGGGCACCTGGGTGGCTCAGAGGTGGAGCATCTGCCTTGGGCCCAGGGCGTGACCCCAGGATCCTGGGATCGAGTCCCCCATCAGTGTCCCCACAGGGAACCTGCTTCTCCCTCTGCCTGTGTCTCTGCCTCTGTCTCTCTCTGTCTCTCAGGAATAAATAGATAAAATCTTTTAAATAAACAAATAAATAAATATAACCATGAAGCCCATTTCCCAGAACCTAACTCCTATAGTATGAAAATCAAAAGAAACATGCACGTGAGGCACTTTACAAACAGAAAAATGTCACTCTTTGTGGTTGGAACCATGTTAAAAAAAATTTTTTTAAAGGCTAGGAGCAGAAAGAACCAACGGCTTCCCCAAATCCACGGAGACTCAAAGTATCTCCAAGTTTCTCCTCTCTAGTGACAGGGTCTACTGGATATAGCAATGGTCCCTGAGGGGGGGAAAAAACTTTCTAAGTGTTTTCTGTGGTCTTGCCCATTGAGTTATTGACAGATGAGGACATTGGTAGCTAGACTCAGAGCACAAAGCGTAAAACCATGACATCATCAGCTCCTTTTTTTCAATTTGCTAACCATGTGCCCCCCTACTACATACACCCCAGGGAGCACAAGAACCCCACTCTAATTGGTCCTCACCTCCCTCACCACCTCTGTGCCTTGTCCTCCTGCAGAATCTTCACCAAGGCCCTGAGACACTCTGCTTATTTAACTCATGGTTCTGATCTGTGACTGTCCCCCCAGAAGTCATTTTCCTCCTCCTTCCCAGGGCCCCCTTCTCTGTCCCAGTGACCAAGGGGCAGTGCACCCCTAGCCCCACACACCAGAAACATCCACTTCCTTATTTCCTCATTCAAGGAAGGCAGAGTGAGATCATCCAATTATGCTTTCTAAACAAAGGATCTAGAAGGAATTGGGGTTCCCTTCCCACAACTAAAGGGTGTAGACAGAGGAAGTTTGTGCAGGAAAAGAAAGCAGGGAATTTAAAAAATCTCAGGTCCCCTGAAACTGAGTGAGCCTTGCTGTGACACATAGATGACAGGCCTCAGCTCAGCCCTCCCTCCTCATCCTCTTCTCTGTTCCTCAAAGTGTGGGGTGCAGTACCATATTGTAGCACTCTTCATATTAGCCTTCAATTATTTACTCCCAGTTGTCATCTCCAGTAGACTATGAGCTTCTTGAGGTTGAGGTAGGAGCATCTTAGTCTTTATGCCCAGGACTTCAAATGTGCTCAGTACTGAGCCCTCCAGCACACATCAGTAAGCACTCATGCCAGGCACTGTTCTAAGAGTTTCACACCCAGTAAGTCATGTATGTACTTTCTACCCCAACCTCATGAGTCCATACCATTAATACTCTAATGCACAGAGAGTTTTAGCAAATTGTGCCAAGTCACAGAGCTGGTGAGGGAGCCATGGCTCAAACCCAGGTGAGCTGGCTCTGGGATCCATAATCTTAGTGGCTGAGGAATGAATAAACAGAAGAAGAAACAAGGAATGGTGCCTTTTGGCCAAGACTTTATTTAAAGTCATCATTTAAGAACTCTTTCTGGCCAGTGATCTGACTTTGTTTCAAGCAGGGACATTTTTTTCTTCCTAGCTAACCTACTATAAACTGATGAGGCAGTTTTCATCTCTGAACTTACTAGAAATATTTTTGATGGATTGGGTGCGTGCAAGTCTTTCCTCAGCATGGTAAATTCTTTGTTATTTGGTCCCTAGTTAACCTTTTCTATAGCCAATATTTACAGTTTTATTGTCTATCGCTTGCTTATCTTTCCATTTTTTCCCCAAAATAAGTGTTCTTGAACCCAAATGTGAAAACAAGTATACTTGGAAGCGCTATGAGCTTAGTAAGAAAGAACATATATGGTGCCAACCTTCATTCCTACTTCCTTGTATTCCCTGAATCAAGTTCTCCCTCGCTCCCTCCTGAATGATAGAAATGGGGTCCTACCTGATTTTCCTGCCTCCTTACGGCTGCCAGGTAGTCTTCTCAAACACAGATATGGTGGGGCTGGAAAAGCAGGCTAGACTCAGCCAAATGAATCACTCCCTCTGGATGTTCCTGGAGCATCACATTCCTGCTTAGTTAGAATCATATCCATGTGTGTGTGTGTGTGTGTGTGTGTGTGTTTCTCCTTCCTTAAACTGAGAACTCCTTGAAGGCAGGGAATATCTCTTGCTCCTTTCTGTTTCTGGAGACTTGACAAAGACAGCCTGGCACAAAATAAAATTGCAATAAATAATTGTTTTATTGGATTTTTATATGACGGATGAACGCACGTACACCAGCTCACCTTAAAAGCAACTCTCTAATGATGCTTCTACATACTACAAAGATACAAGTGCATCCAATCCCAGAAAACAGTGAATTATCTTGGTTCTCCAAGTTCAATAAAACCTGGGGGTTTTCCCCCCATGAATAGTTTTAATAGAATTAATAAAACAGAAGAGATACTATTCCCCCAAACTGAGATATCCAATTCAATTCAGCCGCTCAAAAGGCTGGTGCTTGCCTCATCGGAATGCCAGGCAGCCCTATAGCCATTTATTTGCTTTATTGCTGCAGGGCTAAAACCTGCCGAGGCAGCCCGAGAAGCCGGCACTCAGGGAATTGCCAGGAAATTTCATATTGTATAAAGCAGTCGCAAAACTGATATACAAATGCTGCATGAACAAATAATTATGTAAATTATATAAGCCAGAAAAACCAACATCTTAAATTGAGAGGCTTCTTGGGTTATTGCGTTTTTTGTAACCCACCCATAAACCCATTGCAGGAATGATTCTATTGAAAGAAGTGATTAATTCTAAGCCCGGAGGGGGAGAAAGTGGAGAGCTGTAGCCAGTTCAAACCCAAGCACAAGCTGCTGTTGACATATTCGGCAGGAAGCAGAGCCCCTCTGGGGTTCGCAGGTCCTTCTTAGCAGAGCAGTGAGAAAACTTGGTGTCTACTGCAGGTGGCGCATGAAGGTGTTTCATATCATTCGTTTGATATCATTTCCAAAGCATTACTATGCATTCCCTTGCACTCTGCACCCTGCTGGCTGTTCTCCAAGCAAGACAAACTACAAAATGGGTCAGCCTTAGTGAGGCTGTGTGGATAAAATGTGTCCTCTTGCTTGCAAAGGTGCAGAGGATCTTTCCTCTTAGAGCAAGCTCTAAGTCAAGAGCCCATTGGATTGAAAGACCAAGCAATTTTCTTTTTGACATTAGCACTTATGGTGTGAGTAGCAAGTCTGAGGGCAATAGCCTATGTGTCCAGTTATAGGGCATTGATTAAGCAGATCATTGTTGAGCCAAACACAGTTTCAATATGCTGTGCCTTTAAATGATATTGTAGGAAATTATTAAAGTGCTTGAAAATATACTCAAAAATTTTGTGAAGTGACAAACAAGCTTGCATGAAAGAGTGCTTTACTGGGATCCCTGGGTGGCTCAGCGGTTTAGCGCCTGCTTTGGCCCAGGGTGTAATCCTGGAATCCCGGGATCGAGTCCCACATTGGGCTCCCTGCATGGAGCCTGCTTCTCCCTCTGCCTCTCTCTCTCTCTCTCTCTCTCTCTCTCTCTCTCTCTCTGTCTCTCATGAATAAATAAATAAAATCTTAAAAAAAAAGAAAGAGTACTTACTACTGGTCTATGTTTTTTAGTAAAATGTGTGTGAGTGTATGCACCATAGCATTCTGAAATAGCATTCACGTGGGTGCTAATTGTGGTTATCTCTAAGTGGTGGAACTACAGATCTCTGTTCTCATCTTTTTGGAAATCTCTTTTGCTTTGTAAATAAATTTACAAAGTTATTCTATTAAATGTTAGTGAGTATTGTAGGATGGAACAGAGAGGATGAATTCTCTTCTTCCTCTTTTTGAAAAAAATCATAACCCACTTAATATTCAATGATATTCAGAGTTAGAACATTCTGAGTCAACGTCTGGCATAGGATGTCAAGGGATCTTTCAATATCCATTCCATATTTTTTTCTGGGATACCCACATCCCCTTTTACCTAGCTGTGGGTTCATTGAGAAGGAACCAAACAGGTCACTGTTTTACTTTGTTCTCAGTTATTTTTCCCTTACTGCCTTTCTCGTTCTGGTAACTTTGGGTCATGTAGATTCATTTGCTTTACTTGATCTTGATGCTTTCAAACTGACATCAGTTTTTAAGACTAAACTGGTATTAAATCAAATGTCCTGATGACCATCCCTGATGGCTACCCCTAAGGAAAGAGGAGTAATGTCAGCAGAAGTTCCATAGCTTTGGGGCAGGTCTGCCCTTACCCCAGCAGATCTCAATCTTGGTTGTACATTTTAGTTAGGCCCACACTTATCTTTGTGGTGGCTACACGTGGTGACCCGGCCACGGAAATGTAGCCAGTCTAAACTGAAATGGGCTATAACTCATCAAGTACAGACTTGACTTCAAAGACTAAATATGAAAACAAAGAAAGTGAAATATCTCAATCATTTTTATATTGGTTGTACGTTGAAATTATAATATTTTAGATGTATTATGTTAAAGATATAATTACTACATCATTTATTATTTATCAACAATAAAACATTGTTGTTGACATATTATTAAAATTAATTTCACCTTTTTAAACATGGCTACTAAAAAATGTAAAATTATACATGTGTCTGTCATTATATTTTTATTGGGTGGTGCTCCATTATAATTTCCATTTACAGTTGTGAGGATCCTAACACCCCACACCCCAGACCAGTTAAATCAGAATCTAAAGAGGTATGGCCCAAACCAGGTGATTTCAATGCTCTGTCAAGGTTGAGGTGAACTACCTTAGCCCTGGGTAGGGATGGCTCGATGACAACTGGCATTATTACAGCATT